TTTCTGTTGTCTAGTTATTACAACATAATAAAGAGAAATGTTAGCTTGGGAATAATTTAAAATCATTTTTTTCTAGATGCTCTGAAGATCATGAGGGAATAGATGAGAGGTTACAGAGAATTTATTTAAGGATGATTATTAAAAAACATCCCTTAAGAGATACTGTAGCAGCTCCCACAAGGAGTAGAAATAGCCTCTTTGTGTTGAAAGAATTTGAGTTCAATATGACAGAGATAGTTACTGAAGAAAAATGTCATTTTTTTGTGGAACAAACTTTTCTTTTTATTATTATTATTAATTTCAATGAACATTTACAGAGATTTTGGATTTCCATTCATTCATTGTTGCACTTTTCTCCCCACTCCCCCACCCCCACCCCAAACATACTCCACTCTGCAACCCTCATTACGAACTCTTACGATAATCATACTGCCCTAAAAGATATTGCTTTTAAACAGTTTTCTCCCTCATCTGTTTCAAAAAAGAATGTCACTTCACATAGCCTGGACAGAGTTAACTCTTCCCCTGTCATATCCCACCCCAAAATAATTAATCCCGAATGTATGCATTTGTGTTGGGTGTTCCTGGACAAAGTCAGAGGAGGGTTCAGCACCATGAGCATGAGAGAAGCCAACCAGGTCCCCCCAGGGAACTACAATCATATGATACTGGAGGACAGGTGAGCACAGATCAGAAAGGAGCAGACATGTCTCCCTCAGTGAAGACCCAGGACTCACCTCTCCACATAACAGAACTGAGGGATGCATTGCTTTGCCTCTGGGTTGAGTAAACACCAATCAGCATCCAAGAGGGAAAGCATCAGCGGTTTTTATCTATGATTTAATACAAATGAATTCTTCTCAATTTTATACTTCTTGTTAGTATAAGGATGATGTACATTTAGTACCTTTCCTTGATTTGTTTTTATTTTAATTTTGTATTTGAGTAAAAGTTTACAAATCACCTCAGTTTCCATTAAATGATTCATATAAATTTTGTTTTATAAATTTATACATGAACAATTTAATTGATTACATGTCTCATCAACCCCTTGGTTGTACATTGACTGTTTCTACACTCAGAATATCTCTTTATTAATTTTTGGGCTCCTCTCCCTTCATTCTCATGCTTGTTAACAGTCTATGTCTGAAACTGTGGGTGTATAAATATTTTCTTTGCTGTTTATCATAGTACTTTTATACCATAATGTCCTTTTGTGACTGACTCATGCCACTCAGCATGATTTGTTCTAGAATCTTCCATTTTGTGCAGCATTTCACAAATTTTTGGTCATTTTTAAGAAATCCATAGTATTATATTATGTGAATGTATGACAGTTTCTTCAATCCTTAATAATCCCTTGAAGTGTTTCTTACCCTTTGCTATTGTGAAGAAGATTGCAGTAAACATGGGTGTGAGTATTTTATTGTTTCCCCTTCATTTCTTTAGGCTTTATATCTAGGAGTCTGGAGCTCAGGCGGCATAGTGAGCAGAGTTGCACTGCCAACATAAAAGCAAGTTGTTCAGATTCTCCAGCTGCTCTGTGAGGAAAAGATGGACACTCTCCTCCTGTGTAATTACAGCCTTTCTCTATATAGATCTTATGTATCTCTTGTTAGATTTCTTCCTAAAATGTCATCATTTAGGTGGCTATTGTAAAGGGAACTGATCTAATAATTTCATTTTTTGGTCCCTTTGTTACCATGGTGAAACCTGCCTGACTTTTGTGTGCTATCTTGTACTGTCTCACTAGGGTGTTGGAGTGGGGGATACCTCTCTTTGGAGAAGAACATCATGCTTGGAAAGGTGGAGGGATAATGCAGGAGAGGAAGACCCCAGATGAGATGCATTGCCACAGTACTTGTGGCAATGTGGGTAGGTGTACCAGAGACAGTGAGACCGGTTCAGGATAGTACAGGGTTCACAGCTATCGTACGTAGGGCCGCTAAGACTTCAAGCCATATGACAACACATAAAAACAAGAACAAGACTGTACACTGCAATTTTTTTTTTTTGAGATTTAATACATGAGCTTATTTATTTGCCACACATAGAAAATTCTATTTCTGACTGGATTCGGATTTGGAGGTAGAAGCTCTCAGAGAGGAGAGCCTCCGTCTCTTGGCGATCTGTTCCTGGCGTTTCTCTTTGGCCTCCTTCATTCTCTTGGCCAAAAGCTTAGCGTACTCTGCAGCCTCCTCCTTATTTTTCTTAGTGCGCTGTTTTTTCAGCGAAATGCGCCGGCGCTTGTGCTGCAGGAAGCGTGGAGTAACAAGACGCTGAATCTTGGGAGCTTTGGTCCTGGGTTTCTTGCCTTCTTTGTTTAGTGGCTTTCTCACAAC